TCTAAGGTCATTGGAATGGCAGGTGGTGTAGGGGTTTGGGGAGTGGCTAGTCACGTAGAGCCTTGCATGCCATGCCTAGGAGCAGGGAGAAGTCTTTAGCAATGTGTAAGGACTGTTGTCTCTGCTTGACAAAGCTGTTTTTTTAATCTATCATCTCTTTGGCTTCTCCCAGCTTCCCTGAACTCCCAGAGGCTGGGGCATTGCTAGGCTGCTACGGGCCAAAGCCAGAATTCACCCTCATGTTCCAGGCTTCTCACAGTATAAAAGATGGGGCTAGGGATCCTGAAGACAGCTGCCCCCATTTCTCTCCCCTGTAGGTCGTGTTTTCGCCTGGGGCATGGGCACCAACTACCAGCTGGGCACAGGGCAGGAGGAGGATGCCTGGAGCCCGGTGGAGATGACAGGCAAACAGCTGGAGAACCGTGTGGTCTTATCAGTGTCCAGTGGGGGCCAGCACACAGTCTTACTAGTCAAGGACAAAGAACAGAGCTGATGAAGCCTCTGCGGGCCTTGCTCCCGGCCCCACCACTCTCCCTCCTGAAACTGGGAAGCTATGATGACTACAGATTCCAACAGCCCCCCCCCCCCGCCCCGAGTACTCTGTCATCTCCTGCCTTTTTCCTATCAGCAGAACAGAATCCTTTTCCTCTTTTCCGTCCTCCTTTCCTGAATCATCCTGCAACCTACAGGATGAAGGGGAGTGGGGGGAAATGGAAGAGGGGAGGAGGTTTTGGCAGCCGGAACATTGCTCACCCCAGAGCTATGTGATTAGACCTTTCCCCCTCATCCCTACCTCCCATGGTCCTGGCTGACCCTGGTTTTGCCTGCCAAAACCAAAAATTCCTCCCGTGGGGGTTTGGTGCCCACGTTGGGAATCATCAAGCCCTACTCTAGCCATGTGCCAGTCTCTGTCCTTCACAATCCACAGGCAGACAAATGGTATGGTGGTCAGACCCAGCTGTCACGGACCTATGCCTGGGGGAAACTGGAGATGGGGCAGGGCTGCCCAGCTGTGCACAACCCCAAGCCAAATATTTGGCCCTCAACAGATGTCCATGGAGAGGAAAAAGCAATGATCCTCCACTTGATCAAGAAAAAAGCCAATCAGCCTTCGTCCCGGAAGCACAAAGCGTTCTGCCCTTCAGACATTGCCTGAGTATCCTGCCCATCGTACCTGCCTTGCCTGTGGCCAACGCCTGAAGTCTTGAAAGGAAGCTACATCTGCAGGGCAGGACGTGGAGGGCTGTGGGGAAGGAGAGTCTTATAAACAAACTTATAGCAATATTGAGAGTGAAGGGAGGGAGGGGAGAGGGGTTAGAGGGCAGAAGCTGGTGCACAGAAAGGGAAGCAGCAGCTTGTACAGAGGCTGAGAAAATAGAACAGTTTCAATTTTTTTTAAATGTAAAGTATTTTGGAGGGGAGAGTGAAATCTTTTAACACTTTGAATAAATCTAGAGTTTTATAAAACAGGCCACTTGTTTTCTACATACTCCCTGCTTTTTTAAGGGAGCTCCTGCTGTGTTGGGAAGAGCAGAATAAACCCATACCTATGCACCTGGGCAAGGCTAGGACTTAAGTGATGTCGCCATTTCCTGGTATGTGCCAGTCAGCTGCTGATGTGGCTGTTTCATACCAATCAAAAAAGAGAAAAAGAGTTGGTTGATTTTTTTGCTTAGGTATTTATGTTTCAGGAATCACTGGAGTTTTTTTAAAAAAAAATTATGCTGCATAATGTGAGACATGGAATGGATCTTTTAATATCCTAATCCCAAACCAAGGTTTGAGTATAGTACATATCTATAAATACTTATACTAATCTTGCTGTTATATCATTTCTCAACAGCTGATGTAATTGATTAAACATGGTTAACTGCGCAGTAACTCTTAAGACTACTTAGTACTCATATAAATGTAGATCTTTCCAGGCATTTGAGCAACCAAATCATACAGCTGACCTGTCTACAACGGTGATCCCTAGCCACATGTGGCTATTTACATTTAAATTAATTAAAACTGTAAACATTTAAAATTAATTTCTTTGTTTGGACTAGCCACATTTCAAGTCCTCAGTAGTCCTGTATGGCTGGTGCCTATGGGATTAGGCTATGCAAACATAGAACATTTCTGTAATTGCAGAAAGTTACAGTGGACAATGCCGATCTAGAATGTCTATTAATGTATAACAGGAAGTTTTTTATTATCACCAGAAGGATTCTTCTTGGAAAAGACTTGAAAAAAATGAATATGATGTAAAAGAACTTCAAATGTATTCTGTGATTTTTTCCCCCCTGAAGTTTTAGTTTTAATACAGGCAATATACTGATTGGAAATTGACTTCTTAGAAGGGACATCACACTTTTGATTCTAATATTTCCTTCGAAAAGAAGCACTTGTGTGTCTGCTACTCCTCACCACCCCCCCCAAAGTCCATTTGGTTTAGACTTAAACCCTTTTGACAGGATAGCATGTTGAAAATACTCTGTTCTTAATAACAGCTCTTCTGTATTGGAACTTAAAAGGAGCCAGGCATTGTGCTGAACACTTTACATGCAATAATAGCTCTTTTAATCCTTACATCTGCCCTGCACAGTCATACTTGTCCCTTGGGAAACAGTCCCTGAGAGTTGTGACTTGCTTAAGGTCAGGAAGCTACCTACCAAATGCACAACCCAGGCTGGAATTTAAATCAGCCTCTACCTGAGCCTTGAACTTCAATTCCTTTTCCTTGTATGGCATGTAAGCATTCTAAAGCTCTCTGAAGGTGCTTTACATATATGAGAACAGTCACATAGTACTCTATAATATACTCCTTGCCATTCTGACAATTGTATATTTTTGTTGTTGTTCCCTATAGTTAATAATTGCCTTGTTTTTCACATGTGTAGTTTTTTGTTAGTGCCAATGTCTTAAATGTAAATTTCCTTTTGTTCAAGTACATCAAATACCCTCTTTTATGTTTTCCCCCATCCTCTTCCAACCTGGATTGATTACCCCAAAACAAATGTAATCATAGTACACAATGTGGCGCTGCTATAAATATTTACAAAGTTGTAATGTAAATGTTCAATATTGCTTTGACAGACATTTTGTTTTATTTATTTATTTTTTGCCCAGTGTGGGTCTTGAACTCACACCCCCTCACTCCCAAGATCAAGAGTGGCATGCTCTACTGACTGAGCCAGCCAGGTGCTCCTTTTTTATGAGAAATTATAATCAGAAGATGGAGAAGTGTATATGTATGAATGAAGGACAGTCGCTAAAATACCTGAAACTACAAATGAGAAAGTACATTATTTAGAAATGTGAAGATTCTAGGGAGATGTGGAAACGGCCTCAAGAGAGTGGGAATTGGGGGTAGGGATCAATAGGGTAAGGGACTGCTGTTTATCTTTTCATAAAATAGGCAAATATTTTCTCAGTGCCTAGCACATCTCAGACACTGTTGTAGGAATTTGATTAGAAACAAAACACAAGAATCCCTGTCTCATGAAGCTTACACTCTGAATTAAAAAGAAAGATTTAAACGTCTTCCACATGTGTAAGCAAAGAGCACAGCAGAGGGGCGGGCAAATAGTACTAAACGAACAGCTCTCCGCTCTAATTTGAAGGCCTCCAAATGCCATGTTGGAGAATTTTACTGGATGCCAGGCATGGGGCCAAGTTCTTTCCCAACTTCTCATTTTCTCCGCACAACACCCAATGTGGTAAGCATGGCTGTTATCCATATTAGTCTCAGGCTAAGTAACTTGCCAAAATAATTAGTGAGAGGGGGCTGGGATTGATAGCCAAACCTCCCAGCCGCTATACTTGCTACTTACTGCTGTAAGTAGGATAAACCTGGGAATGTGGCAGCTAGTGGCTGGATCTCAAGTTTTCAGACGCGTAAGCACTTCACTTGGGGGCCTAAGGCCCTGAATTTAGGAGGTATAAACTGGTAAAGAAGGGCCTAGTGGCTTATCAGCCCAGAGGGAGCCCCAGAAAGGGATCTTAAAGCACTTGGGGGTGAACCTCACTGTTAGAGTTGATCACTTACAGAAGCTCCCCATTCTAAGAAATGGGCACCAGGGTGAGGCTTTGCCTTAGACCCTCCCGGACTAGGAGAGTTAAACTGTGGGGATTATCTAGTCATTGTAATCAGTGTTCACTGAAGGCCTTCCATGGACAGGTCATTGTTCTGGGACAAGTTAAGAGCTGGCGCTTTGGGTTACGGTAGTGGATACTGGACTCCAAAAAGTAGAGTGATGAGATTTGGGATTATTTGGTTAGATGACAGGGTTGTGTCAATTTACATTCCCTGGAAACCTCCACCCCCTCTTTCCACTCCAGGGCTATATACAGGAATGATGGAAGAATCCCATCTAACTTCAACAACAATCTCATGTCTTGCAAACTGGGAAACAGGGTCAGGGGGTGGCCGGGGCAGACCTGTGCTTTGCCTAAGGTCATGCAGTGGAACTGGATCGCCCTGGTTCCCAAAGGGGACTATTTGCAGGTTTGTTGGGATTTATTGTTGTTTTTGTTTTTTACAGTGAGCATAATTGATTTTATAATTTTATTTTATTTAAGATTTTATTTATTTGAGATAGATCGAGAGCCAGTGAGCAAGAGAGCAGGAAGAGGGACAGAGGCAGAGGGCAAGCAGGCTATCCACTGAGCAGGTAGCCCGCCATGGGGCTCGATCCCAGGACCCTGGGATCATGACCTAAGCCGAAGGCAGACGCTTAACCGACCGAGTCACCCAGGCGCCCCAAGTTTTATAATCTTAAAAAGTACGTGTGTTTGAATACATGATCAGAAAGAAACGCGAGAAAACCAGTTTCCGGAGCAACCCGAGCGCCGGCACAGCGCCTGGTCGGCCCCAGCCCGCGGACTCCGCCTTGTCTCAGCCCTCGGGAGTCTGGGACCTCCGCGCCCAATCAGCCGGGTCGTCGGAAAAACCCGGAGCAGCGAATCCCCGCGTGGCCCTGGGAGCTGAGGTTCGGAGCGTGCGCAGAAGGCGTCGGAGGCGCATGCTCCCTGGCGGTCCCGGCGCCCAACTCTGGCGCCGGCTCTGGCCTCCTCTGTCGGCACGCTCTGGGCCGGGCTGCAGGCATGGCGGCCAGTCTGTGGATGGGCGACGTGAGTGAGGGCGGCTGCTCGGGTCTGAGAAGGACGAACCTTAGTGTCACGGGGGGAGGAAGGGTCTGAAGGGGAGGGGCCTTCCAATCCCAGAAGGGTGGAAGTGAATGGGGATGAGTTCTTTAGGTGACACAGGCGGGTCCCAGAATTTAGGTGAAGGGGACCGAGTCTGAGGATGGGGGTTCCTGGCCTTCCGACTGCATTCTTGGAAGGGAAAGGGAGGCTCTTTAGGGGGATAGAACGGCAGGAATCCCAAGGACTGAAGGACGCTGTGGCTCTAGGACTGGAGGGATAGGGTTCTTAGATCCAGGGAGGAGGCTCCCGAAAGGGACCAGGTTTGAAGGGGGAGGCAAAGGATTGAAAACGTGGGAGGTGGGATTCAGGCCACTGTGTAGATGAAAATCCCCACTCCCCTCAGCCCCGCCCCCACCAGCAGCCAGCCCTGGGTGGGCTCTGGACGGGAATGAGGAGCTTGGACGCTGGCCTTAATCCTCTGCTCATGTATTTACGCAGCTGGAGCCCTACATGGATGAGAATTTCATCTCGAGAGCCTTTGCCACCATGGGGGAGACCGTGATGAGCGTCAAAATTATCCGAAACCGCCTCACTGGGTACATTTTTCTCCTTCCATCTTCTCAGTTCTCCTTTAATAGACGGTGCGGCCAGTGTCATTCTCGAGAATGTAAACATCGAAAAGTCAGGGCTTCTCACCCCTAATAATAGTTAATATAATGTTATAAACGTTAACATTTGGGGGCTTACTGAGGGGGAGTATAGCATATTGCTTAAGGACTGGACTTTGGGGAGTCAGACTGAAAAAGCTAGGTCTACTGTGTGACCTTGGGCAAATACTAAACCTCTCCATTTCCATGTCACTGTGGCTATGAAAATGGAGATGATAACACCATCCACCTCACAGGGTTATGGTGAGGATTGAATGGTTAGTTTACATTCAGCATTTAGAGCAGTCTGGCATATGTCTTATGCTCAATAAATATAAACAGATTATGATCTACTAGGTAGTAAGCACTTCAGAGTCATTTGTGGGGGGTGATAGAGAGGGCACCTAGGTGGCTCAGTCATAAACCTGGGCTCTTGATTTTGGCTCACGTCATGATTTCAAGGTCCTGAGGTTGAGCCTGCAGTGGGGCTTTGCGTTGGGTGTGGAGCCTGCTTAAGATTCTCTCCCAGGGCACCGGGTTCCTTCAGTTAAGCGTATGCTTTCAGCTGAGGTCATGATCTCAGGGTCTTGGGAAGTGGGCTTTCTGCTTAGCCAGGAGTCTGGTTCTCCCTCTCCCTCTGCCCCTCCTCCTGCTCATGTGTTCTCGCTTGCTCTCTCTCTTTGAAAAAGTGAAAAATAGAAATGATTTTCTAAGATTCTATTTTTTTAGGGGCACCTGGGTGGCTCAGTTGGTAAGTGTCTGCCTTTGGCTCAGGTCATGATCCCGGTATTCTGGGACTCCCCGCTCAGCAGGGAGCCTGCTTCTCCCACTCCAGCTCCCCCATGCTTTGTTCCCTCTCCCGCTATCTCTCTCTGTCATCAATAAATAAATTCTTTAGAAAAAAATTCTGGTTTTTTTAGATTTATTTATCCTGTGCGGAGCTTGATTATACAACACTGAGATCATGACCTGAGCCAGATGCTTAACCGACTGAGTCACCCAGGTGCCCCAATAAATAAATCTTTAAAAAAAATCTTAAAAAAAAAAAAGATTTTATTTATTTATTTTTAAAGATTTTATTTATTTATTTGACAGAGATCACAAGTAGGCAGAGAGGCAGGCAGAGAGAGAAAGGGAAGCAGACTCCCTGCTGAGCAGAGAGCCCCACTCAGGGCTCCATCCCAGGGATCATGACCTGGGATCATGACCTGAGCTGAAGGCAGAGGCTTTAACCCACTGAGCCACCCAGGCGCCCCCAGGATTTTATTTTTAAGTAATCTCCATACCTGATGTGGGGCTCAAACTTACAACCCCATTGGGGCACCTGGGTGGCTCAGTTGGTTATGCTCAGGTTGATCCCGGGAGTCCTGGGATCGAGCCCTACATCCAGCTCTTTGCTCAGCGGGGAGCCTGCTTCTCCCTCTGCCTGCTGCTCCCTCTGCTTGCGCTTGCTCTCTTCTCCCCTCCTCCCCCTGCCATGTCAAATAAATAAATAAAATGTTTAAAACAAACCTTACAACCCCAAAATCAAGAGTTGTAAGCTCCATGGACTGAGCCAGCCAGGCATCCCTAAAATCATTTCTTAAATACAAAAAAGTCCAAGTACTATTATTAGGAAGCTTCATAACTGTCTTAAAGTTTACAGAGCTATTAAATGACAAGCCAGGACTCAGATGTGTTCTTATAGTCATGAGTGTCCTTAACTCATGTCATTCACTTAAGTTATTTATGGAACGAGTACTGTGTGCTGTTGTTCAAGGTTCCCGGGATACGTGGCTGAAACAAACCGGGCATAGTCCCTCCTCTCATGGAGTTTTTACTACATTCTTATGGGGAAGCAAAACAGTAAATATGTAAACAAAACAAAATGCAGAGAATATTTGGAGATAGTGGTGCTATATTGCCTCCCCATTCTTCCTTCTCTTAAGGGGTCTAGTTAGCAAAAGAAGGATTCTCTTATCAGTTTGGCAGTGTTTACTGAGCAGCTGCTCTGCCAGTACTCTACTGAAGCAGCTGCTAAAACGTCAAATGGTTGATGGGCGCCTGGGTGGCTCAGTGGGTTGAGCCGCTGCCTTCAGCTCAGGTCATGATCCCAGGGTCCTGGGATTGAGTCCCGCATCGGGCTCTCTGCTCAGCGGGGAGCCTGCTTCCCTTCCTCTCTCTCTGCCTGCCTCTCTGCCTACTTGTGATCTCTGTCTGTCAAATAAATAAATAAAATTAAAAAAAAATAAAACGTCAAATGGTTGAAAAATACATACGGGAGAGATGAAGTGGGTGTGGTCAGTTCTGGCTGGTTGGTTGACAGGTACTTTGTGTATTCGGAATCCGGTACCTGTTTCTGAAACCCAGGTGTGGCTGCCTTTGGCTGAAAAGGCCAGTATTCTAGACAGGAGTAATTTTCCCTTTGCATCCCCCCCACCCCCACAAGAGATGAGTTTTGATTGGAAAGGAATATGAGGTTTATTCAGGAAGCCGGCCGGCTACTTAGGGAGAAGGTGGACTCTTGTCCAAAAGCCAACTCCAAGGTTTCTCCTGGCCCGGGAGTTTTTTTTGGGGTTTTTTTTGTTTGTTTGTTTGTTTTAAGATTTTATTTATTTATTTGACAGAGATCACAAGTAGGCAGAGAGGCAGGCAGAGAGAGAGAGAGAGGAGGAAGCAGGCTCCCCGCTGAGCAGAGAGCCTGATGCGGGGCTCGATCCCAGGACCCTGGCATCATGACCTGAGCCGAAGGCAGAGGCTTCAACCCACTGAGCCACCCAGGCGCCCCTGGCCCAGGAGTTTTTAAAGTGATTTGGGGCAGTTAATCAGTTAAGGGGGTGCCGTGGTCTGTGACAACTTGTGACTACACGCAGTCTCAATGGTGCCAGCGACAGATGTTATCATAGTGCTTGGAGGTGTTGCAGTGGGGTCTGGTTCCTTGGTGAGGGGTAGGAGAGGTGTTGTGCAAGAGGGTTTGGTTTCTTGGTGCCCCAGGTGTGCAAGCGAGCCTGGTGACGTGGAGAAGGGCTGTGTTCTTTCTAGGAGGGAATGCAGGATCTATAAATGTACAGAGGTTTAGTTCATCAGTCGTGTGGGTTAAGGGTGCTTGCTAAAGACTACTAGGTTGGCTGGAGGGGCCAAGGCAGCTTCATACCTAGAAACTGTTGGTTTGTTTTGTTTCGGGTTTTTTTTTTTGTCTTTCAACCATTTTATGAAATGAGAAAAGACCAAGGTAGCCACGAGGCCATTGATACACAGGTATGCAGTGTGGATGAAGAAGGGACTGTGGAAAAACCAGCACCATGCCAGGTGATCGCTAGGAACCAACTTCCCCAAACTCCTAACAACAGAACACTCTAGACAGGAGCGTATTATATAGGTCCTACAGAAATAAACGTGGTTCCATGCCTGTTCTCTACAGTTGGCAAGGACAGGCCTTTCCGCTGGCCTGTCTCAGTAGGTGTTTCTGTATCAAATGAAGCAGAAGTTTTCAGTGACTCTGAGGCTGGCATAGAGAACTCATTGCCTGTCTCTGCCTGGCTCCTGGGAGGCAGGTCCCCAGGACCTGACAGGGGACAGGTGGAAAAGGAGAAGCAATTACACAGCCTGGTAGAAAATATGGTGAGAGTAGACCACAGAGGGGCTCCCTAGGTCCTGCTACAAGAGGCCATTAACACACTTTCACTCTGAGCCTTCAGGTCTGGTGAACAGTCTCAGAAAAGACCCTGTGCCCATCTGTGGAATGTTTCTCAGGGAGAACCCCCTCACATGCACTAGTCCACTCAAGTTTTCATCCTGAGGTCTAGGAGCTGCAGCCCAGAGCAGGGATGAAGAACCTGTACTAGCTACACTCAGGGAGAGCCAGCAGCATCCCAGCCTTTGCTGAGAGGCCAGGGCTCTGCTGCTCCCTCCTCTTTAGCATTGGTGCCTACATCCCCCCGCACTTCCCTACAGTGTCCCTCCACTTGCTTTTTATTTGCACTGTATTCTAGAACAGGTCCTCTACTAGGTAGAGGTAGATCATACTAGCCTAAATATTCTTCTTTTTGCTCTTATAAACAGAAAACCCTAGATAATCAGCTACTGGTATGAAAACATTCTGTAATACTTTCTGCTTTATTGAAATCAGATTTAGAACTATCTTTTCCTATCCATGATTACTAAACTCTGGCTGTTTCTTAAGGTGGTACTTACAGACACATCACATTTATGTCTTGCCTCATTTGAAAGACTTTGAAGTGGCCTATAAGAATACTGTAAAATAAATAAATGCAAATTTAAAAACTAAGACCCAAGAAAATAAGGGAAAAAGATAAGACCTGTGGAAAATAATGTGCAACAGAGTACAGTGCTTAAGAATGCAGTCCGTGGTTACACAATAATGTGAATATTCTTTTTTTTTTTTTTTAAGATTTTATTTATTTATTTATTTGAGAGAGGGAGACAGAGTGTGAGCGTATGCAGTGGGGAGGGGCAGAGGGAGAAGCAGGCTCCCCACCGAGCAGGGAGCCAGACTGGGTACTCAGTACCCTGAGATCATGACCTGAGTCCAAACCAAGAGTTGGGTGCTTAACCAACTGTGTCACCCAGGCGCCCCCAGAATATCTTTTAAAGCTTTTTTTTATGTCTCTCTCTTTCTCTCTTTTTAATTTCATGTCAAACAGGTTGTGTGCTAAGGTTGTAACAGAGTTTAAGGGAGGTACATGTCACAACAGTATGAACACTCAGTCATCACAGTTACAACTACAAAAGGATCATCTGTTTTAAGTGTAGAAAAGCTCACCTCTTACCTTTTCTCATAGCACTGACTTTTTAAAGAGGTAAAACTAAGGTCCTACATTCTGGAATCTGGTTTTATTTGCTTCCTTGTGGTGGTGTTTTACTTGTTCTGTCCCTTACATTCCCTACAAATGGAACATTAGATCTGAGAGTTTGATTGGATTGTATTAAATGTTTTGGGGGGCGCCTGGGTGATTCAGTAGGTTAAGTGTCTGAGCCTTGATTTCAGCTCAGGTTATGATCTTAGAGTTGTGGGACAGTGTCCTGAAGTCAGTCAGGCTCAGTTCTCAGCAGGGAGTCTGCTGCTCTCCCTCTCTCTGCTCCTCCCGCTGCGTGTGTGTGTGCCTGCTCAGGCACACGTTTTCTCTCTCTAATAAATCTTAAAAAAATATTTTTGGCAAAAGTACTTCAAAGGTGGTACAGTGCATAAATGAATGTTTATCAGATGAGTCTGGGACTGGCCCAAATGGGCCGTCCTTATATTCAGGTTTGTAAATTAGTTCTGGACTAGAATACAGCAGGGAACAAAAACAGGTTGGGCTATGATTAGGAAAACATTTTTTCCCTCCCCTCAGGCCAGGGCTCAGTCTCATCTGGGAATCCCATCTGTAACCATTCTTTTTCTCTTGTTTGCTTTCTTTCCAGAATCCCAGCTGGCTACTGTTTTGTAGAATTTGCAGATTTGGCCACAGCCGAGAAGTGTTTGCATAAAATTAATGGGAAACCCCTGCCAGGAGCCACACCTGTAAGGACACTTGAATAATGATGATGTTCCCATTTTTATTGTCATCGATAACTATCATTTATTGAAGCCCTACTGTATACATATTCTATTTAATCCTATAACAACCCTGCACAGTGGGCATTGTTATCTTTGACAGCCCAAAAAACCGAAGTCCAGGGAAGTGGAATGACTTGTCCAAGGCAGCACAGGTAGTAAGTAGCAGAGGCAGGACGCAAACTGAAGATTGGTTTGCCTCTAAAATCCAGGCCCTTTGCACTCTGCACCGCCGCCTCCCTTCCTGGAAGACTTGAAGCTCTAGCTTGCCTGATTGAGAAGCTAGAACAGGCTGGCCACAGTGAGAACACAGTGCAAGAGAATTACATTCTGCTCTTCCCACAGTTACTTAGCTTACGGCCGCACCAAGCTGGCACACCTGGGCTCGTAGAACCATGGAGCTGGCAGTGCCCTTAGCGGTCATCCGTGCAACCCCCTCACTTTATACAGGAGAGAAAGCTGAGGCTTAGAGAGGGGGAGATGTTTTGGCCAAGGTAATTCATTTCAGTTTTTTTCAAATATTGTTTGACTCTTGAAACACCTTTCTCTGTTTTAGTTTGTTTGTTTTTAAATTTCTAGGCAAAACGTTTTAAACTGAACTACGCCACTTATGGGAAACAACCGGATAACAGGTAAGTGCAGGGTAGCCCCAGGGTAGCTTCAAGCCCCAGGAAGTGTCTAGATGGAGACAAGATGCATCACCGTGCTGATCACCACCAAAGAGGAGGTTGGGGAGCCTAGTTTGGTCCACTCTGCCTTCCTCCTGAAGGATGACTTCTTCCCCTTCCCCGCTGGTGGATCTGCCCAGTGTCCTTCTTGTCAAGACCTGTGTCTTGTCTTTATTTGGTCCTACCCCCAGCCTGCCACCCTGTTAGTACCCGCAGTATTGATGTGGTGTTCAGTAAGAGCTGACCTGCTGTAGCGACATAAATCGATTGTTTCAGGGTGCTCTTCAGAAGCTTTAAAACAATGTAGCGAGAGCTTTAAAAAGATTTGTACCCACTGACCCTGTCATTCTACATGGATGTGTCCAAAGATTAGCCTCAGAAGTATTTGTTGAAATATTACATAGAATGGGGGAAATTGAGGAAAAACCCAAATAATCCTAGTAACGGAGAAGTGGCTTAAATGACAATATGTTCATTAATTGGAGTACTATGTATCCATGTATAAGTCATTGTGCAGAAAATGATGACAGGTCAGGAAGTTGGTAATATGTTAAAAGTGAAAAAAATGCTAAAAACAAAATGAGGTAGTCATACCCAAGTTTTGTAAATTCAGAAAGAGAAGCCAGGGGTGCCTGGGCCGCTCAGTTAGGTGTCCGGCTCTTGATCTCAGCTCGGGTCATGATCTGATAGTTATGAGTTTGGGCCCCTCACTGGGCTCGACCCTGGGGGTGGAGCCTACTTTAAAAAAGAAAAACAAGGTGGCTCAGTCGGTTAAGCGTCTGCCTTCGTTTCAGGTCATGATCCCAGGATCCTGGGATCGAGTCCCACATTGGGCTCCTTGCTCGGTGGGGAGCCTGCTTTGCTCTCTGCCTGCTGCTCCCCCTGCTTGTGCGCTCACTCTTTCTTCTCTCTCTGTCTCTGACAAATAAAATCTTGAAAAAACAAAACACCCACAAAGAAGCCAAAGAAAAAAGACAAAAATATATAACAGTGTTCGTAGTGATTACCTTTGAGTTGTTGGGTTACTGGTAATTTTGTATGTCTTTTTGTGTATTCTGATTTAAACAAGAAATATGTATCATACTTGAACTAAGAAAATTATGAGTATGCTTGTTTGATTTATTTTTAAATAGTTTTTCTAGAATAGAGGTTGACAAAATGTGACCTGACTTACATCACCCATGAGCTAAAAATGGTTTTTACACTTTCAAAGGATTATGAAAACAGAAAAAGCAACAGAAACCATAGGTGCCTTACCAAGCTTAAAATTTTTACTATCTGGCCTTCTATAGAAAAAGTTTGCTGACCCATGTTCTAAAAGTTGGCAGATTTCATTTTAGCCCTGCTTTTAGTCTTAGGAGATAAGGGCCAGTTCTCATTCTCCATCTTCACCATTTGAATTAAAAATTGCAGTGAGGGTCTCCTGGCTGGCTTAGTAGGTAGGGCATGTGACTCTTGATCTTAGGGTCATGAGTTCGAGCCCCACATTGGACATAGAGATTACTTAGAAAAATATTTGCAGCGAATACAGTGTGTCTAGATTTCTCTTTTGAGCACCTCTGACCAGGCCCCGCAACCTGTACTCCTATACTTCGAAGCCAGACAGGCTTTGTTCAGTAGATAAGGCCCCTAGAACAGGGGCTGCTTCCATAACTCTCTGCCAGGACTGCCAGGCACCACAAATTAGGACCTGGCTAAGGACCCATCAGATGTTCTGTTCCCCACGAAGACCCAGAAGAGGTTTACCTAGAATGGGCCAAAAGAGCTTGTTAGAACAAAGCTTTTGGTGTCTGTCTCTGAATCTTGTTCTCTCCTCTCAGCCCTGAGTACTCCCTCTTTGTGGGGGACCTGACCCCAGATGTGGATGATGGCATGCTGTATGAATTCTTCGTCAAAGTCTACCCCTCCTGTCGGGGAGGCAAGGTGGTTTTGGACCAGACGGGCGTGTCGAAGTAAGGCCTTACCTATGACTGATGGCCACCGTGTTCCAGCATTTGTCTCAGAGATGGGGCTGATAGAGTGAGGCCATGTAGCACAGTGGGGAAGAGCCCAGGCTCTGGAGCCAGACTGTGCTGTGCAGCCTGACTCCCAGACTGGCCCAGTCTCTTACCCGATTTCCTCAGTACAACAGATGCTGATTAAGAGGGTCTGCTCCCAGGCCTGACCTACCAGTGACATGATATGCTATAAATAAAGCTGTAGGATATGCTCGATAGGTGCTTGCCATTTTATCTATTATTGTTACTTCAAAGGTAGAAAAACCCCAAGAAAGGCTTATTTTTGATCAGAGTAATAGTTACAAGCACAAGCTTGAGTTATAAGCCCCAGGCCTGGGTTTGAATCCTGCTTCTGCAATGATGCTGGGCAAGTTATTGAATCCCTCTGAACTTGGTTTCCTCCTCAGTAAAATGGGGACACTACCATTATCGAATCATGGGGCAGTTTGATTAGATAATCCTGGGGAAATGCTTAGCATAGTGCCTAGGAAATAATAAGGGCTCATGAAATACCAGCTGTCATTTCCAAGTAGAATATGAGTCCTGGGGTACATGGGTGGCTCAGTCGGTTAGGCGTCTGACTCTTGGTTTCGATAGACTCTTGGTTTGGCTCAGGTCAAGATCTCAGGGTCATGGGATCAAGCTCCACGTGGGGCTCTGGGCTCAGTGCAAAGTCTGGTTGAGATTCTTTCCTTCTTCCTCTCCTTCCCCCTCCGCGCCTCCCCCACTCTCGTGTGTATGTGTTCTCTCTCTCAAATAAATAAAATCTTAAAAAATATATATGAGTTCAGCAGAGCAAGAACCTTGTCTGCTTGTGACTGCTGAGCCCCGTTGCCTAACGTGATACCTCGTGTATAGGGCAGACGTAAATATTTGCTCAGTGAACCACAGCTGTTATTCCCACCACCACTACCATAATGATATGATGGTGGTGGTAAGAGGATTTCCAGTAGATTGGGAAGGAAGCCACTGGGAAGGAGCCCCATCAGTGAAGGCCTGGAGGAGATTCCTCCGGACTCGGGCTTCTGCTGGGCCAGAGTTTCACCTTGCTCTGCAGCCTACCTCTATTGTTGGGGCCCTCATCCCTTCCTGCAGAGCTGGATAGGCTCACCCCCTCTTCCATTCTTAGACTCTATCTTTCATCACATTTGTGATCTAAATGGGGAATATGCTTTTGTTTTCTGCAGGGGCTATGGTTTTGTGAAATTCACAGATGAACTGGAACAGAAGCGAGCTCTGACTGAGTGCCAGGGAGCAGTTGGCCTGGGATCAAAACCTGTGCGGCTGAGTGTGGCAATCCCCAAAGCGTGAGTCCTGCGCGGGCAGGGAGGTGGCCGCCCTCTGGACTGCTGCCCTTCACCCCCACCCACGCTCCTTCTCTGCTTGTTGATAATTGTAGCTTCCGCCTGCTGGGGGAGGGGGGATACGGTGGGGGGGCCTGCTGCTTGCCAGGCAGCGTGCTGGGCGCTGCAGATGAATGAGCATGACCCAGCGCCTCCAGAAGCTTGTGGCTGGGGCAGAGCTACGACCTGCGAGGGCAGATTCATTCAGACATTGCTGGTAGCAGTCCTGGGAAAGCAGCATGTCCTGCGTACTTAATGTTCCTGCTCTTTGCCCGGTAGTATCACTGTTAGAAATTAACCCACAGAATGAATAAGAATTGAGCAGAAGTCAAAACAAAACAAAACAAAAAACACCCAATTTTAGCTGTGGGAATGGCTAACAGTTGGGAATGACTAAGAGTTAAAGATCCAAACACTACAGAATATTGCATATATCATTCTACCTGCCATGCCAGTCAGAAAGCCCTTCTTCCCTTACGGCTCCGAAGTCTCTCACTCAGAAGACAGCTGTTGTCTGCACAGAATCTTCTATCCTTTGGCCAAAGCAGTGGTTCTCAACTAGGGACAGTTTTATCCCACAGGGGACGTTGGCAACACCTGGAGATAATCTTGGTTGTCACAGCTTGGGTGGAGAGGTGGGGTGGGCATCCCGTGAGTGGAGACGGGAGAGCTGTGAGCACGCCATCCTGTACAGGATGGCCCCACACGGCACCTGCCTGCCGTGCGCCCAGGTCCACAGTGCCGAGGCAGATAGACTCCATGCCAGGGGTAGAAGAGTGACTGAGGGCAGAACTTCCAGAGAGCTAGGTTTTTCAAAGCAGCAAAAGATTTGGAGGTTCTTTGCTGTTTAACTGTGTTTAATACCTGGAAGATCAGCCTGAGTGGTTCCGCCCCCCCAAACTGTTATTTGTTCTAAACTCTACTATAGAGGGGCGCCTGGGTGCCCTCAGTCAGTTAGGTGTCTGCCTTCCACTCAGGTCATGATCTTGGGATCCTGGGATTGAGCCCCAGTCAGGCTCCCTGCTCAGCAGGAAGCATGCTTCTCCCTCTGCCCCTCCCCCTGCTTGTGTGCTCTCTCACTCGCTCTCAAATAAACTTAAAAAAAGAATAGTAATAAACTCTACTATATAAAAACATCAGAGAAAATATTTAAAAGAGGTTTCCTCATTACCCTAAAGTGACTATGATTTCTGACTTCTAAGCTTCTCTGTAGACATCCGTGATACGCAGATATAAATAGACACTCAGTGTGGATCAGTTTACATGTGATAGATTGATTTCTTTATTTTTGATTATAGTCTCAGTCTCCCCCCCACCCAAGTTCTCTTCATAGACACATTCCCCTTCCCTTATAGCTGTACAGTCCTCCTCGCAGCGTTGGGCAGCTGCCGGTATCTTGAGCGTGTATTCCGTCCCAGGTTCTTCTGGTGTTGATGGTGTTGGTGGTTTCTGATGTGTTAGCATTTATGCAGTCGGCGACTGAGCCCTTACAGCTCTCCGGGCCCTGGCCTGGACATCGGAGTTGTAGCTGTAAACAAGAGAAGGAAAAGCCCTTCTGCAAGGAGGTCGTGTTCTGTTCCATTTCTCGGTTGATCCTTATCAGAATTCGGTGCCTGTGTCTAGGGAGGTGCCATCAAGCACTAGGAGTTAAGGGCAGTAAGAGGTCCCTTTGAGAGTTTATCTGCAAGAGCTGAGTATAGAGAAACAACAGAAATGTACAGACCCAGGCTGAGCGACTTCCTTTAATTCCATGAATGTATCAGGAGGGTGGCAGAGTCCTTGGGGACATGGCGGGGTAGTCATGGACGAGACCATTAGCAGTTTCCAGCCTTGCACTGGGCCAGGGGAGGGAGTCTCTGCCATTGGACTCCATCTAGCCACCCATCAGGAGGTGGTGCTAAGGCAGTCAGACGTGGAGTGTCTCTCACTGCTCTGGCCAAGTCCTGCTCACCACGCAGGCCCTGAACTCAAAAGGAGCTTGTGAAGAGCTCATTCAGACTGAGAATTTGTGGTTGCTGTGACAGGCATTGCTGTGGTGGTTCAGCTCCTGCTTACGACTTGGTTTCCTTTCTGGCTTCACTCTGGAGACAGCATACACCGGTCCTGAGGACACAGGCATGTTCCACGCCATGTGACAGTCGCAGTTCTGCGGGCAGGCCAGCTGGTGTGGTGTAAGCCTCTGCCTTCTGTGCATGCGGCTGCGCTTGGGAGTCTGGCTCTTTGCAGTATGAGGCCTCTAGAAGCGCACTGCCGTGTTTTCTTTTGATCACTCTCATCTAGGGCTGCTGGTCAGGCCCCAGGCCTTTCTCATAAGTCTACCCATACATATATGGTTTTGTGTATTTTTTGAAAGCAACGGATTCTTTGCAGGCCTGACATTCTGTCTCTGGTTAGCAGTGGCTGGGGTAGCCAGGCCAGCCGGAGAAGAAAAGCTGTCCACTGAGCCTGGGCCTCAGGCCCGACTGCTGACTGCAGGATTCAGGAGCCTCACAGGGTGTCCTGCATCCGTCAGGGCAAATGCTGAGTGGAGTGGTCTGGTGTTCAGAGCGTGGTCTTGGAGTTAAATTTGGCTCCAGTGCTAGGTGTAGACTTGGGTGAGTCACTTAACCTTTTAGAGTCTCATTCTTCTCATCTGTGTAATGGGAATAATAATCAGTAGCTCTGTCATAGGGTTGTGCAGGACTTAAAATAGGGGCCTGTATCTGAAAAACAGTGGGCCCAAGTCCTGAGTACCTATTCCGTAAACCGTAGCTGTGACTGCAGTGATGATGGTAAGGCTACTGGAGCACTTCTTTTTGTGTGGGAAAGAGGTGATTAGACATTTTACACTTTGAAATGCTGCTTGGATCATCCTAAATCCAGATTTTCCAGGCAGTGTTCACTTGAGCTTTTGTGGCTGGCAGAAAAACACGTGTCATCCCCGTCCCTGTCCCCCCCCCCCACCTGGTGTGGGGCGCCTGGGTGGCTCAGTGGGTTAAAGCCTCTGCCTTTAGTTCAGGTCATGATTCCAGAGTTTTGGGATCAAGTCCCACATCAGGCTCTGTGCTCCATGGGGAGCCTGTTTCCTCCTCTCTCTCTGCCTGCCTCTCTGCCTGCTTGTGATCTCTGTCTGTCAAATAAATAAATAAAATCTTCAAAAACACAACAACAACAACAACAATAAAAACTCCTGGCATAAAGCTTGGGCTCTGGAGCCAGACTGCCGGAGTTTGAATCTCTGTGGGGCTTTGGACAAATTAGGTGAGCTGTCTGGACCTCCGTTTCCTCATCTGTAAAATAGGAATAAATGTATTGTTCTTGCATAGGCTTATTGTGGGGATTGAGTGGGTTAATCTGCATACAGCCACTTGAATACCCCCCGGCACGCAGTAAGTGCTATGGCAATGTTGGCCTATATTCATTTTTGTTTCTGTCTCCGTCTAAGGAGCCGTGTGAAGCCAGTGGAGTACAGTCAGATGTACAGTTACAGCTACAACCAGTATTACCAACAGTACCAGAACTACTACGCCCAGTGGGGCTATGACCAGAACACAGGCAGCTACAGCTACAGCTACCCCCAGTACGGCTACACGCAGAGCACCATGCAGGTAACCGTGGCTTCGGCCGCTGCCTCCTGGCGGCTCGGCTCAGGCTCAGCCCCGGGCCGGGGAGTGGTGAGCTTAAGCTTCAGACAAAAATGGGGAAAGATGACTTCCTTGTCTCGGCCAGGAGTTCACGCTGCTTCTCACCCTTTCTTTGGTCTCTTGGCAGACGTATGAAGAAGTCGGGGATGACGCCTTGGAAGGTAAGAAAGAAGTTTGTTCGCTCATTCCCCCCGTCCTCTGTCAGGTGACTGCTCTGGGGCGGCCACTGTACTGAGGAATGCAGGGCGGATTCTGCTCTGGAGGAACTTGCCTTCTAGTGGCAGACAGAGCTAGTGGGCGCGTAATTGCGGTGAGAAGGGGCGTGTGGCCCCCCCAGTGTGCGTGCAGCCCCAGAGAGCCCAGGAGCAGCTCAGCGGGGAGAGAGCTGGTCACTCCTACACCTGGGACATTCAACCCCCCACGTGTAGGTCTCCAGTGACACTGTTGCCTTATGTTTGTTTGAGAGTTTGTAAAATTCATTTTTTTATCTCATTTTAATTTTTTCCTGTATATTTTAAACTACATTTTTTTTCTCATTCTCAAGTAATAGGTATGATTGAAAATTTGGAAAATACAGTAACATATTATGAAGAAACTAAAAATCACCCCCAATCAGCTACATAGTAATAGCCATTATTAATTTAAAGTATTTGCGTAATTTTTACGGAATTTAACACAGGAAAAAGGAAAATAAAACTGAAGGAATTGCTAACCTTCAAATAAATGATTTTTCAAATGCGATATTAATACTTAAAGGATTTTTAAGGTTTGAAAATGGACATGTTTCTGACTAGATGTTAAGTTTTAAAGAAGTAAAATTTAGGGGCACCGCTGGCTCAGCAGTGGAGCATGTACTGTTAATCTTGGGCTTATGAGTTCGGGCCCCATGATGGGTATAGAGATTACCTAAAAAATAAAATCTTGGGGCACTTTGGTAACTGGGTGGCTCAGTCACTTAAGCGACCAACTCTTGATTTTGGCTCAGGTCATGACCCCAGGGTCATGAGATCAAGCCCCGTGTCCTGTCAGGCTCCACCCTGGAGCCTGCTTAAGATTCTCCCTTTACGGGGCGCCTGGGTGGCTCAGTGGGTTAAAGCCTCTGCCTTCGGCTCGGGTCGTGATCCCAGGGTCCTGGGATCGAGCCCCGCGTCGGGCTCTCTGCTCGGCGGGGAGCCTGCCTCCCCCTCTCTCTCTGCCTGCTTCTCTGCCTGCTTGTGATCTCTCTCTGTCAAATAAATAAATAAAATCTTAAAAAAAAAAAAAAAAAAAGATTCTCCCTTTACCCCAACTCCCCACCGCCTGCCACCCCACTGGCTCTCAGCACATGTTCTCTTCAAAAAAATAAAAATTAATAAAATAAAAAGTAAAAGTAAAAAAATAATAAGAAAGCACTTGTACATACATGCTGTCATCTAATCTAACAGCAGTGACCTTGGGGGTGAGCTAGGCAGAACACAGGGGCTCTAACTGACATATGGGGACCTGGCCATGCAAGTGCTCTGTTCAGGCTCACCCAGTGAGTTAGGGGTAAGTCAGGCCTGGAGGCCCTGACTTTACTCAGTCTCTGACTGGTCCCTCCAGGGAATACTGTCCTTTCTTTTTTTTTTTTTTTTTTTTTTTAAGAGAATATTAACCTGAGTATAATATCTGTGTATAACTCCTTAGAATTTTCCAGTCTTTTTCTCATCCATTAATCCATTAATATAATAATACCAGACATATTTTGTGCCAGGCCCTGCTACCTTTCAACACTATGATGGTGGGTTGGTGCCGTTATAATCCCCAGTCTACAGAAAAGAAAACTGAGGCTTAGGGAGTTGATAATAGCTAATAGTTAAACTGAGGTTGTACTATGTGCAGGCCCTGTTCTAAGCATTTTACATCTGTTAATGCATTTAACCTTCACAATTGTGTTGCGCTAAGTACCACAATTTATTCTGGTTTTATAGGATAAAAAAACCAAGGGAAGGGGGTCAAATTACTTGTTCAAGGTCAATGATATTGTAAATTTCAACATAGTAGCAAGAGATGGAGTCATTCTTGGAACCCCTGCAGTCTTGCCCCAGATTAAGTGCTTTTTACTGCTGCCTAACACTGCCTCCTGGTTCAACCTAATACCCACCCAGAGGGGCACACCAGGAGTCTTTGCCCTTCTCCGTCTCTTCCTCAGCTTCAGTGAGCCATGGCTCAGGCCCTGTCTTCAGAGTGAGGAAGGACGCTCTATTGTACACGCATCCACAGGCTTCGGTGCGCACAAACGGCTGCCCTTGATCGAGCTCTTTACTGAACTGTTTCTATAGCTGTTGCCTACGCTGAGTGGAGAAACCAGGACATTCATGCTTTCTTTAAGATTCCGTAGGGAGCCTCTGTAAATGCTCAAACCTTCTTGCAATTTAGATTAAAATTCCAAGAGGAAGGGGCGCCTGGGTGGCTCAGTCAGTTAAGTGTCTGCCTTTGGCTCACGTCTCCGTTCCAGAGCCCTGGGATCAAGCCCTGCATCAGGCTCCCTGCTCAGCAGGAGGCCTGCTTCTCCTTCTCCGTCTCCCCCTGCTTGTGTTCCCTCTCACACTGTCTCTCTCTGTCAAATAAATAAATAAAATCTTGGGGCGCCTGGGTGGCTCAGTTGGTTGGGCGACTGCCTTCAGCTCAGGTCATGATCCTAGAGTCCTGGGATCGAGTCCCACATCGGGCTCCCTGCTCGGCAAGGAGTCTGCTTCTCCCGCTGACCTCTCTCCTCTCATGCGCTCTCTCTCTCTCTCTCTCTCTCAAATAAATGAATAAAATCTTTTAAATAAATAAATAAATAAAATCAATCTTTAAAAAAATAAAATAAGATTCCAAGAGAAAGAAAGATCCTTCTGGTTCTAGGAACAGGCATAGGACTTACGTGAAAAGATTAGCACTGGTTTGGAAAAGGAAACAGACTCTTAAAAGTAGTGAGAAAGTTTGAAATAATTTACAAAAGAAACACACATGCTAGCAAATGACCGAAAAAAAAAAGGTTTACACATGCTATTTGTACCAAAGGTAATTTATACTATATCACCAGTAGGATATATTATGTATAAATGTGTAAGGCAGGCCAGCAAGCTAGAAACTCAAGCAGGATTTCTATGTCACAGTCTTAAGGCAGAATCCCTTTGGGAAATCTCAACTACATTTAAGCCTTTAAGATTTTTGGTTGACTAGGGGCGCCTGGGTGGCTCAGTGGGTTGAGCCGCTGCCTTCGGCTCAGGTCATGATCCCAGATCCTGGGTTCGAGCCCCACATCGGGCCTTCTGCTCGGCGGGGAGCCTGCTTCCTCCTCTCTCTCTGCCTGCCTCTCTGCCCACTTGTGATTTCTCTCTGTCAAATAAATAAATAAAATCTTTAAAAAAAAAAAAAAAAGATTTTTGGTTGACTAGATGAGACCCACTGACATTATTGAGGGTTATTTATTTATTGAGAGAGTACGCTCCAGCATGGGGGAGGGAGAGGCAGAGAGAGAGAGAGAGAGAGAATCTTAAGCAGGCTCCACCCAGGTGCTCCAAGGATTTTTTTTTTTTTTTTTTTTAAGATTTTATTTATTTGAGATAGCACAAGTGGGGGACTGGGAGAGAGAGAAGCAGGCTCCCCGCTGATCCAGGAACCTGACTTGGGGCTCTATGCCAGGACCCTGAGATGGTGACGTGAGCCAAAGGCAGACACTTAACTGACTGAACTACCCAAGCACCCCTCCCCAAGGATATACTTTTTTAGTTTTTATTAACATATAATGTATTATTAGCCCCAGGGGTACAGGTCTGTTAATCACCAGGCTTACACACTTCACAGCACATACCTTCCCCAATGTCCATAACCCAACCACCCTCTCCCTGCCCCCTCCCCCTGGCAATCCTCAGTTTGTTTTGTGAGATTAAGAGTCTCTTATGGTTTGTCCCCCCAAGGATATTCTTAAAATCAGCCCGTTGCAGATATTAATCGCATCTATAGATAATACCTTCGCAGCAACACCTAGACTGGTGTCTGACCAAGCAGGGCACTATGGCCTAGCTGAGTTGACATGTTAAACTTTAACCATCATGCTATTAATAATCAAATTTAAATTCAAATATACTGTGTTTCTTGGGGGATCTGGCTGGCTCAGTCAGTGGAGCATGCTACTCTTGGTCTCAGGGCTGTGAGTTTGAGCCCTACCTTGGGTGCAGAGATAACTTTAAAATAAAATCTTTAAGAAAAAAAATATATAGGGGCGCCTGGGTGGCTCAGTGGGTTAAAGCCTCTGCCTTCGGCTCAGGTCATGATGCCAGGGTCCTGGGATTGAGCCCCACATCGGGCTCTCTGCTCAGAGGGAGCCTGCTTCCTCCTCTCTCTCTGCCTGCCTCTCTGCCTACTTGTGATCTTTGTCAAATAAATAAATAAATAAATCTTTTTTAAAAAGTGTACATACAATCCCGTAGCCTTTAGAGTGGTCACAGAATTGTGCACCCATTACCACTGATTCCTTCAGCCAGCAGCAGTCCCTCTGCATGCCAGCCCCTCGAGCCCCTGACAACCACTCATCTACTTTCTCTCTCTTTGGATTTACCTATTCGGACTCTTAAAGTTGGCTCCTCGCCCAGTGTGGGGCTTGAACTACCCTGAGATTAAGAGTCAAGTTGCATGCATTACCAACTGAGCCAGCCAGGCGTCCCAGGCTATTTTAAAGATTTTATTTATTTATTTGACAGAGATCACAAGTAGGCAAAGAGGCAGGCAGAGAGAGAGAGAGAGAGGGAAGCAGGCTCTCTGCTGAGCAGAGAGCCCAATGTGGGGCTCGATCCCAGGACCCTGAGATCATGACCTGAGCCGAAGGCAGAGGCTTTAACCCACTGAGCCCCCCAGGCGCCCCCCAGGCTATTTTAAATAAATGGAATTGTGTATAACCTGCGGTCCTTTGTGAATGGCTGCGTTCACTGACGCATAGCGCTTTAGCACGTGTCAGCACGTCGTTCTTTTTCATGGCCGAGCAGTATTCCGTTGGGTGGATATCCATTTTGGGGATAGACGTTTGGGTTGTTTCCACTTTCAGTATTACGGAGATATTACTTAGGAGCGTTCATGCGTAAGTTTTTGTGTGGACATAGAAGTTTTCATTACTCTACCTCAAAATGGAATTGCTAGATCCGATGGCAGACTCTTTAAACACTGGAGGAACTGCCAGACTTTTCTGAAAGGGCTGCATTTTCTGTTCCCACCATCAGCGTACAGGGTTCCAGTTTCTCCACATCCTCACGAGTGGTGGTTAATCTGCTTCATTATGGCCATCCTGGTGGGTCTCGAGCGGGATCCCGTTGTGGTTATGATACCCACTTTCCTGATGGCTAATGGATGTTGATGCTTATTGGCTATTTTGTGCAGATCTTTGGAGATACGACTTTCCAAGTTCTCTGTCCATTTTAAAATTGGGTTGTCTTTTTTATTTTTTCATTATGAAAGTTTCTTTTTTCTGTTCTGGATACCATTCCCTTATCAGACGTATGACTTAAAATTGGGCCATCCCATGAATTACCTCTCCACTTTCTTGATAATGTCCTTTGAAGCTCAAAAGTTAATTTCTGTGAAGTCCTATTTATTTTTTTCTTTTGTTTGTGCTTAAATGTTGTCTTATCTAAAAGGCACTGCTTGTTTATACCTGTTTCCTTCTCAGATTTACAATTTCAGGGACACCTGGGTGGCTCAATCATTCAGCGTCTGCCTTTGTCTCCTGGGATCCAGCCCCCAGCCACGCTCCCTGCTCAGTGGGAAGCCTGCTTCTCCCTCTCCCACTCCCCCTGCTTGTGTTTCCTCTCGCTGTGTAAATCTTTAAAAAAAAAAAAAAAAAGTTCCAGCTCTTACCTTTAGTCTTTGATCCATGTTTAGTTAATTCTGTGTGAAGTGTGAAGAGTCTAGCATTACTCTTCTCCTGCGGTCATCCAGTCGTCCCAGCACCATTTGTTGAAAACCCGTTCTTTACCATTGAATTGTCTGGTACCCTTGTTGAAAACAAAGTTACTATTAAGTTAGAAGATGGGCTTGGACTCTTGAGTCCTTTTTTTTTTTTTTTTTTTTTTTTTAAGATTTATTTATTTGTCAGAGAGAGCACAAGCAGGGAGAGCTTACAGAGGTAGAGCAGGTGAAGGGAGAAGCAGGCTTCCTGACGAGCAAGGGGCCCGATGCGGGACTGGATCCCAGGACCCAAGGATCATGACCTGAGCCGAAGGCAGATGCTTAACTGACTGAGCCACCCAGCCATCCTTTTTTTTTTTCTTATTCTTAAAATCTTATTCCATTATCTCTAGGTCTATCCTTAGGCCACTGCCACAGTTTTTATTACTGTCGCTTTGTGCTAAGTTTTGAAATGGGGAAGTCCTTAACTTTGTGCTTTTTCAAGATTGTTTTTGCTATTCTCAATCCTTTGCATTTCCATCTACACTTTATGATCAGCTTCTCGATTTCTGCAAAACAAGGCAGCTAATTTTGAAAGGCAGTACATTGAATCTGTAGATCAATTTGGGGAGCATTATGATCTCAAGCAATGTTGTGTTCTAATCCAAGCCCTGGGAGATCTATTTCCTTAGGTTCTCTTTAATTTCTCTAATTGTAAAATAAGTGTTTTAATGAATGGGTGTTTGTGTGTGTGTATTTTATTTTTTAAAGATTTGACAGACAGCCAGAGAGGGAACACAAGCAGAGGGGAGTGGGGAGAGGGGGAAGCAGGCTTTCCATCCTGATACAGAGCTCCATTCCAGGACTCTGGGATCATGACCTGAGCTGAAGGCAGAGGCTTAACCCACTGAGCCATCCAGGCGCCTGTGTGTGTGCATTTTAGACCAACACAAGACTACAAGGAAAAGTACAAAGTGTTATCAATCATAGTGATTAAGGAGTTTTCTCAAACTTCTTTTACTCTGAAATGTATACATAAAAGTATGTCAAACAAGTCTGTAGTTTATTATGTAATTATAAAGCAGTTGCTCATGAGACCTTTATTCGGATCAAGTAGAACATTGCCAGCCTCCAGAAGCTTTCCTTCCCCCATTCAAAACCCATGGCCCTGCTAGGGAAAGTGACTGTCTTTTGTGGTAATCACTTTCTCCCTTTTTAGATATGCATCCTTAAATAATATTAGTATTGCCTGTTTTTTTAGCTTCATACAATGCAGTTATATGTACTGTCTTTTTTCATTCAACACTCAGCATTTAAATTCAATTCTAATATATAATTGTTATATTAGCTTCGGTGTGCAATATAGTGATTCAGCAATTCTCTACAGACTTGGTACTCATCGTGGTAAATTGCTAACACACCATTTGTGAGATCCAACCAAGTTGTATGCAGCTGAGGCAGATTTTCACTGCTATGTAATGTTCCCTTTGAAGACCTAGTGCTCTGAACTTAATCATTTTGATCGGATTTCCATAACCCGAAACTGATGCCAGGGCACCTGAGTCTACGGGGGTGGAGAAACAGCCACTATGACTGGAGTGCCGTGCGTGTTGTTTTCTAAGTAACTCCACTTTTATCCTTAAAGGAACCCTGCAAGGTAGTGGGTATGAGCCCCTACGGGCCCCGAGGGCCTCCGACAGAGGACAGGAACTTCCCACTGGAAGCAGGAAGCTGGAAGCCCTGGGAGTGGGAAGAGTCCATGGCTCTGGGTGCTTCTGGTGCTCTGAACCCAACCCTGGCTTCTTTTGCAGACCCCATGCCGCAGTTGGATGTGCTGGAGGCCAACGAGGAGTTCATGGAGCAGAGCGAGGAGCTGTACGACGCCTTGATGGACTGTCACTGGCAGCCCCTGGACACGGTATCCTCGGGGGTCCCCGCCATGACCTAGTCGGGACAGAGGAGCCGCGGACACAGACGTGATGGAGACAGACTCCTTTTTTAACAAAAGTGCTGGAAGAACTTTTACCTTTTTGGAAGCGTTTTGTAAAGATTTTAGTAATCAACTCTTGAGATTATGACCATTCCTACACCACCACCGCCTCCCTTTGCCCATCAGCCTTTGGAGTTTGAGAACCACAGGGTCACTGAGCAAGATTTTAAATGTCTTTGAAGCATGTCTTCCAGATAGGGATGTTACCCACTCTCGGGAGAGGAGAGTTTGGGGTTATTAAAGTGGATCATAGGACTTACTCAACCCAACCCAGAGGGCTAGCTCAGGTGACCCTGCATCCTTAAAGGTTCTCTGGGGTCAGAGTGCATGGGTCACGTGCTACATGCCAAGCGGGGGCAATGCTGACCCTCCATTTCAAGCATCCCTTCACCCAACAAGTTTGGTGGCTGTGTGTGGTAGGATGTGATGGAACCGGTTACACCAAGACCAAAAGGCTCTGAGGACAAGCCGAGCTTCAATAAGCCCTTGTTTGAGGACATTATTGTGGTATCTGTGTACCTGGCCCACTGGTTTGTCCTTAATTTCCTTCTGTTAAGTATGAACACACATGTATCTCTAGTACCTATGTGGAAAGTCTGGATTTATCCTAAAAATCTGCAACTCAGCTCTACTTTTGTGCTGAAGGAAATGGGGGGGGACACACACAATGGGGGTAATGAGGTAAATGTCTTAGGTCACAAGAAACAAGATATTTAAAGGAACACTCGTTAGGCTCAGCCTGAATTTTCAGGCTTTTTGGAGGAAAAATTATGTATAGTGGCAGCTCTAGAATAGGTCATATTATCTGGAGAGGTCAACCTATTTTTATGAAATGACACTGTAACAGGGAATAGGAAAACCTACTTCAAGTCTTTTATTAGTCACATGCCATGTGCCAACATTAACAAAAATACAGAGTTCATGGTCTTCCACCAAAATCTTTCAGCTTGCCTCTTCCCACAGTGTTTCGGTCCTGAAAAGGAAGTATAAGCCAGTGTGTTAATACTCCTAATTAATTAATGCCACCCAGGCTTTTTCTGAAGAGCTGGTCTCAGTCCCATATCCGCATTTATCATCCATAGATGTCCACTCAGATTAGGTTTCATCCTGGACCAGTCAGCATAACGTCCCAAGCTAGGTGAACTACACTTGTGTCCACCCAACCCATCTCCCATACTCCTAGGAAAAGGCCAGTAAGATCCCACGGCTTGATGTCTCCCCAAGCTCAAACCACGACCATAAATGCACGGCAATCGGCCCTTGCTACCCATCGTGCAGGGCTTTGGCATCTGGTACCTTCAGTGTGCTCGTGGCCTTCCAACAGGATGGGCAAATCTAAGACCCAAGTCACTGTACACGTTTCTCTCCTGGCCGTGAACAGCTAATACGGCATATGAGGAAGGTCAGGTGTCAAAAATGTGTAGAAAAGCTAAGACTTGCCAGAGGCCTGAACAGCCTTGTTATCTTACCAGTTCACTACACTACTCGGGGTTCACAAGGCTCAAGCACTACTTGAAGCTGCAAGGAAGCTACGGAAGAAGTTTGGCAGCCAACTTACCCAACTAGATCCATAATCACAGATGAGGACAGCTGTACTGTAACACATCTTTACAAAAAAACAAAAACAAAAACAGACTCAGGAGACAAGAGAACCATGGGTATTTATCAAATACAGAAGTACTAAGTCAGCCACCACTACAACTCCCAGAGCTTCACATACATCCTCCCTTTAAGCCGAAGATTATCCCAGTTTAGTGGAAGGAGGAAACCGGTTCAAAGAGAATTCAAACCCTGTCTGAAACTAGCCCACAGCCTATACACCAGACTATAAGCACCACGAGGCCAGCTTCAGTGCTCCTTTTCCTCCTTTATGACCACCAAGACCAGCGTTCAGATCTGATGGGAAAGGGAGCCGGAGGGTCAGGCTGAATCCGGCACGTAACTGTACCTCGTCTAAAGCACAGCAACAGCCCGGGAACCTCAGACTCTTCAGAAGCCGACACCGACAGGGACACTTCGGGGCAACCTGGAGAAACAGTGTGAAAGCTCCAAACCAGAAAGTCCATCAACAGACCCATCGACATGAAGGTTACGGAAAGCCCCCGGGCTCTGGTAGGAGCCCCCGGGGCCGCTATAGGAAAGGCGAGTGGCAGCGGCAGGTACCGCGCTGACCTGTGCTGTCAAAGTCTCTCCAGGTTGCTCTGGCATGCAGTTGGAGATCCCATGGCCACCGCCGGCCACAGCCCTTGGAAACATGCTGTACCGCCCCGCCAAGGGAGTTCCCAGAAACCTACCGGACCCAAGGTGGTTGTGTTCCAAGTCAGTCACGACCCCAGAATCCTCACCAAAAAGCTCCACTTCAAAGTCCTCCTGGAATCTTCAGTCAGGCACAGCTGAGATGGGAAACAGTCGTCCTGAATGATCTTACTGTTCCCTTCCTTTGGTCTTCACAGTTAAAGGTGTGACTGGCTTTTGGTACTGATGTCTTAAGCTTTTCAGTGCAGTGATCCAAAGCACTGCTGAGATCTGCCACTTGCCACTAGATTTGCCCAGTACACCTGTCCACCCCGCTCCACCTGCCCCTACATGAACTGGTTCTTGTTCTCAGCAATTTACTTCTCTAAAGTTTTCTCCGAGCAACTCTATGCAAGACCCCACTATCAGGGGCGCCTGGGTGGCTCAGTCGGTTAAGCGCCTGCTTTCAGCTCAGATCATGATCCCAGGGTCCTGGTTTAAGTCCCACATCAGGCTCCCGGCTCAGCAAGGAGCGCCAGCCTCTCCCTCTGCCCCCCCCCCCCCCCCCCCCGGCCCCCCCCCCCCCAAAAAAAAACTTAAAAAAAAAAAAAAAAAAAAAAAAAGACCACATTGTCAGAACGTTTCTGCTGGTCTCTGGAAACCTGTCAGTTTTTTTTTTTTTTTTTAAAGATTTTATTTATTTATTTGTCAGAGAGAGAGAGGGAGAGAGAGCGAGCACAGGCAGACAGAATGGCAGGCAGAGGCAGAGGGAGAAGCAGGCTCCCTGACGAGAAAGGAGCCCGACGTGGGACTCGATCCCAGGACGCTGGGATCATGACCTGAGCCGAAGGCAGCTGCTTAACCAACTGAGCCACCCAGGTGTCCCAAACCTGTCAGTTTTAATAAAGGACTCCACCTCTACCTGAGACATGGCAGATGCAACTGTCTTTTCCTGAAATGTTGCAGATCAGTTACAGCAAACAGAACGGCGACCGTCAAGGAAAACTGTCACTCTGGGCTCCTTTTTGACCACAGCAGCTATGTGGAAGCAGCTGCAGCTTCGATAAGGGCCACAGGGCAATTTAGGTCCCGGGACCGCCCCAAATGCTGTCCAGGCTGACTCACCTAATGCCCGAGCACTCCTGCCTAACTGAAATTCACGGGCTGAAATATACTGGAGAACAAGTAAGAGAACAGGTACCACCGGCGCCTGGGTGGCTCGGTTGGTTACAAGTCAGAAGCCAGACTCTTATCTTGGACCAGGTCCTGGCTCACAATGGGCATGGCGCTAACTTAACGAGAACTGATAAAGACTGAGCCTGTGCCCAACATGGGGATGGACTCAAGACCCTGAGCCCTGAGATCAAGAGGAGCATGCTCAGCCGACTGAGCCAGCCAGGAGCCGAGAACAGATATCCTATTACCAGGCCCCAATTACCACTTCATTTTACTATATGCCCGAGTTTTAAACTCATTTCGTCTTCATAGGACGATTTTACTATCCGTTTTACCAGTAGCTTTAGACCAATTAAGCTACCTACTTAAGGTCGTCAGGCAATGTAGAATGACACAGAACTAAGACTCAAAATAGGATCTAAAAAACTCCAAGACGCGACCCCAGAAAACCCTACCCTTCTTAACCACCTGCATGGATTGCTTAACGTGCTGTGCAGCCAGATGACAGGAATCACTTCCCCAAGGTCACCCAATAGGTAGCTTTAACAAAGAGATTCAGTTTCAGATTTGATGGACACCACCGCGCGGCGTCTCCAAAAATTAAGCCACTTCCGGCCCAGGACTGCCCTGCACCAGGCCGCCTGTCCGCGTTACTCACCCGTCGCACTGCAGCGCAGGGATGCGCGGGCCGAGGCGGGAGCAGGTACCGCCCCCGCGGGCTCTGGCCCCTCTCACCGCGCATGCAGCCGACCAGGCCTTCCGGGCCTTGGTCCCAGCACGCCGGGAGGCCCGGCAGCTCCGAGCCATTCTCAATATCCCACAGCCTCGGGAGGCAGGCCTGGCGGGTACAAGGCTAGGAGCGACGAAGCTACCGCGAGGTGAGAGGAAGACGGCCGTGAACTACAGCACACCCGCAGCCCAACACGCCAGCACCACGGTGGCTGGGAAAAAGGAAGCCCGCTGATAGGAGGAGGGCTTTTATAGGTCTCCCCCCCCCGCCCACCTCGGAGGCCGCGCAGACAATTAGAGTAACGCGCCGCACAGACCGCTGGGAATTGTAGTCCGCCCGCCCTGCCGCGCCGGGCGCGCCGCCCCAAGCTAAGCAGGTGCGGACCCTTCTGCGTGTGTCCCGCACTCAGTGAACGTCCGGTACCGGGCCCTGTGCTCGCAAATGAAGCCGACCCGCCGTGCCCGCTGGACTTCGGCCGGACTTCCAAAATCGGGAAATGACGCCGTGAGCTGCGATCAGTGCTCGGCTTCGAGCGCCGTGGGCCGAGTAATGTTTTGATTACTGTAGCTCTTTTTTTTTTTTTTTTTTAAGATTTTATTTATTTGCCAGAGAGAGAGAGAGCAAGCGAGCACACACAAGCAGGCAGAGAGGTAGGCAGAGGCAGTGAGAGAAGCAGGTTCCCTGCTGAGCAAGGAGCCTGAGGCGGGACTCGATCCCTGACCCCGGGGTTCATGACCTGAGCCGAAGGCAGCAGCTTAACCCACTGAGCCACCGAGGCGTCCCTGTAGCTTTTTTTTTTTTTTTTTTAAGATTTTTTTATTTTACTTATTTATTTGATAGAGAGCACGAGAAGGGGGAGCAGCAGGCAGAGGAAAAAGCAGGCTCCCCGCTGAACAGGGAGCCTGATGCAGGGCTGGATGCCAGGACCCTGG